TATCTACTTCCATCTGTGTGATCCTGACTGCTGCCTGGTACTTTTAAAGGGGGTACACCAACATATGCTGGCATTCTGCCTTTCATCTCCGAGACAGTTTTAAGGCTCTTTACAATGAGAGCTTTATTAGATATATTTATTATCTCACCTAAGTGCAGTTAATATTGCATCACTGGTTTTCCATGTCTGCTTATAATTTATGAGATACATCCATTCTAACTCCAAGAAGAGGGAGAGTGTCAAACTTAGGACACACATACGCTACAGATTTAGCTAATATTTATTGGGCTTTATGTTATGTAAGTGTGCCTATTCTGACAATATTTTATTACCTTTTAAATTGCAGTGTTGCACTATATATTTTTTTCTTTTGAGCAAAACTTTACTCACTTTACTGTATATTACAGTGTATAAAAATGGTGAGTGATTTTATACGGTTTACACTGACCACTAAGCGCTGAATACTGGTGTTGGCTTTTGGTCATAAGGTTATACAGTATAAATTCTCTTAGATGCACGGATTAGATAGACAGGTATGACAGTCAGACTATCCAACCAGCCAACGTGTCAGAGAGAGAGTTTTTTTCAAGAGATGTAGCAGTTTCAGAATTATATGTAAAGTTTACTACTGTTAATTTAATGTAAATCATCAGTTCGTAGCGGGAAAACATATGAACTAGATTTACAGTGATTACAAGGCAGTTCAGTGTTACATTCTCTCTGTAGGGTCTCTGATAAAAAAAAATTAGTAATGAACTATATAGCAAGATTTCTATTTGCTTGTTTTTACTGTTCAAAGAAGAGCAAACTGTTTTTGTTTTTTGTTTGTTTTTTTAATGTATTTTTGAGTTTCAGAAAAGATTAGCCTTACCCCCCACTGATGCCCTTGTTTCAATTAATTTGTATTAATATTAATACTTCACATAGATTAGCTTGCCTTACTAAAGCACCAGTAGTAATTCTAAGTATTTATTGAGCAGAAATCATTATGGTATAATGAACTGTAGCTTTAATTATAATTGTTTTGTTTTATTCGGAGCTTGAGGAGTTATATTTACTTTCAACAGTAGGAAATGCATTGCATTTACACAATTTGTCTCCTTTTTACAAAATGGCTTGTTTATTGCTTAACACACTAAGACCTATTTATAGAAGTTACAAGGTGCACTTCAGGGGCCTACTGGTACATATCCAACAATCACTGATTGTCCACTGATTGTATCATATTCTGCTCTTCTGCACACATCTGCCACGATTTATTTATATTTGTATTTAACTTGTGTTTCATTCACAGGAGTAATAGCGTGAATGTCTTGGTAACAACAACCCAGCTTATCCCAGCACTTTCAAAAGTCTTGCTGTATAGTTTAGGAGGAGTCTTTCCAATTGAGAATATTTACAGTGCAACAAAAATAGGTAAAGATTTTTATTGTTGAAATGTGTATACACTGTCACTTTAATCAAGTTTAAAACAAGACAAACAAACAAACAAACAAGGCCTATGGCAGATTATGTGCTGCACAAACAGAGATTAACCCCTTAGCTGCCAACAGCAGCGTCATAGGAGTGTCATCAGTCATTCCGGAACTAGAGTTCCAGCATGGCTAATGTCAATTGTGTGCACTTTGTTGCACAGAATGTCAGTCATTGACTGTTAGCAGTTAGTTTATGTTCTCAGCCATTGGTGGGTCTACAGCACTGTCAAAGCCAGAAACACGTCACTGGACTACCATGGAGCATCGGAGACCAGCAGGAGCCAGGTAAGAGGGCAAATTGTTGATAAACAGTTTGACCCATTATTGGGGATCCAGGACAGGGTACTCCTGGCATCATAAACAGTACAGATAATGGTTGTGATGCTTGGTGAAACTATTTAACTTAAATTTGGGTAAAAAAATACATATATCCTTTTTGATAGCTGTGTGTCTTTACTATGGATTATCAATATTTCCATGTTGGTTTTATCATAGCTCTGGATATACTTGCTTACTAAAAAGGCATCCAGTCATAATTTAGGGTATCACTTGTAAATAATTGCTTAGCAATGTGGATGTGTTCACTCCTCATCTTTACTGCTCACACAGTTTCTCCTGAGTGTGGACTTTCCTCTCCTTGAGGTTTGATAGGATGTTGTCCGTACAGCTTGACGGAGACAGTAAACAAAGTAGTGGACAAAACAGGGTGTAAGTTAATGCATTCCTGTCACTCAGAGATATAGCTACTGTCTGAAGTGCAAGGTAATTAGTTTTCAAAAGAAATAGCTATCGGGAATGTTAACAGAATTGTACATAAAGGAATGCCAAAATGTTACTCTAATGTAAATAGGTTGCAGTTGGAATCACTTGAGCTAAGGAAATTGCTGTTAACCAGGCATATAGAATAAGCCCACATCACATTTTTCTTTCAGGAAAAGAAAGTTGCTTTGAAAGAATAATACAAAGGTTTGGAAGAAAAGTAGTTTATGTTGTAATTGGGGATGGTGTAGAAGAAGAACAGGCAGCAAAAAAGGTAAACTGTTTCACTCATCATTAAAACAAATTGTTATGTTGTGGGGGAAAAAAAGAACCATTCAGGGTTGTTCATATATCCAGGAATTGTTGGGAAGTGACAAAAGAATTAAACATTTTAAAATGCACAAGCTACAAAAATAGCTACATTGGGAAAATGTTCAGTGTTGTCTAATTTGTTAAGGCCTGATTCCTGATTAAAAGAGCGACCCTGTTAGTCTGATGATACAAGCTATTTTCACAAAATATGTTGCCATGAAACATTGTAAAATACAATGCAAATCTACCTAATTGGAGTGATTGACAGTTGTTACATTATATTACACATTATTATGCTATGTTTAATAAATATTACTTTTGTTAATGCATATTTTAACTTTTTCTGTACATAAAATAGCCAGTTCTACTTTAAAGGGGAACTGTCCCTTCTCTGGAATTTACACTAACGTTTTTCCTGAAATACCCCATTTATATTAAATATTTATAAAATTATATCAAAATCTAGCTCAGATACGGCAAAGGAAAGGGCAAACACTGCAAATGGGTAAGAGGTGAAATGGAAATATTGGGGGTTATGTATAAAACATATTGTATGCTGAAGTGTGGTCTGTTGAATCAGCACACACATTGCATTGGTGACTTTGCCTTATTCCCATGTTTGCATCACTTTTCAGGGGAAACACTTTTTTTTTTAGGTAACCACGTTGTTTTATTTCTCCTCTTCTCTGCTTTCTCTATACTGACTGTGTAGATTTCTACATTTATATTTTTCACACTCCACAGAAACATATGTGTTAAATATAGAGTAAAAGTAAACATTATGTTGTGACAGTTCCCCTGTGAAAGGAAACTCTTAGCTTCGGAGCCTCTGCATCTTAATGTATTGGTTCTGGTCCAAAGAGACTGGCTCTGTAGTCTCAGCAATGTAAACAATGCCTTTTCTGTGAAACGGCCGTGTTTCATTTGCTGCCTAAGTGGCATTTAGTGGCTGTCAATCAGACATCTATTGCAGGTACTTCCTATTAGGGTCCTGCAATCTTGTTAACCTAAAAAGATTAGATGAGAACGGCACAGTTTAGTGATTGCCTCACATTGCAGTATTCCCTTAGTGATCGTCTGTGAAATAACAAACGTATGTAACAATGGAGTGCCTAGGGGACATTAGATTAAATATATAGCTAAGCGTAAAAACGGGTAAAAAATATAGGTAACCTAACAACCTATAACATTAGATAAATACAATAATCAGAAAATTACCCTATACTTTTATCCATAAAAAGTAATTGAAGGTTGTATAAAAACAATCTATCAATATTGTATAAATGTAGCACAAAATTGTAAGTCTTTTGAAATAAAAGTTGCTTTTCAATAGTCCTTTAAAGTTATTAAATTCATCCACAAAGCCGGCTTATTTCCAAGAGTCCCAATATGAAAAACAAAAGAAGATTAAGGATATGGTTAAAAAAAAATCTCCTTAGGGAGAGCTCATTTGCATACACAGCAATGGCCACGCTCGCATTAGGATTTCCTCATAGGAAAGCATTATTCAATGCATAGCGTGCATAGCGTGACGACGTCCAGTGTCGTTTAGGCAAACAAAAGTCGCCTAATCACCCTGAAGTCCAGACTACCAGAAAGCCACTAGAAGAGGTGTTAACCCTAGCAGGCAATTATTGCAGTTTATAAAAAAAACTGCAATAACTACATGCTCTGGGTTAAGGGTGATGGGAGTTTGCACCCAGACCACTTCAATGAGCTGATCCATTTATAATTATGGGATGCAGAATGTAAATCAGTGTTAGTGGATAGGGTATTTTATTGTATATCACAGGGTGTTTACCAAAGTTATGTACAACATTCTAGAAAATGTTCTGCAAAAAAGGCACCTTATTTATTAGTGTATAGGTTCAATTCGTGTTTGATTTCTGTGGTAGAGGAATTGCGGTAGAAGGCCCACATATGCATTTTTGCATTATTGCTTGTTTTATACTTATCCTTTTTGGGCCAGTTATCAAGCTTTATTTGAGTAAAGTAAAGTATAGATTTTGTCTATAGTTGTTCCAGTCTCACCATTAAAGTGAACCTGTTGTAAAAAAATAAAATTACCTTAAATGGCTCCCATATATGAGGGAAAACAGAAAACAGTATTTGATCACCTGCTGATTTTGAACGTTTGTCCACTGACAAAGAAATGATCAGTCTATAACTTTAATGGTAGGTGTATTTTAACAGTGAGAGACAGAATAACAAAACAAAACAAAAAAGAAAATCCAGAAAAACACATGTCAAAAAAGTTATAACTTGATTTGCATGTCAGTGAGCGAAATAAGTATTTGATCCCCTATCAATGAGCAAGATTTCTGGCTCCCAGGTGTCTTTTATACAGGTAACGAGCTGAGATTAGCAGTACTCTCTTAAAGGGAGTGCTCCTAATCTCAGCTTGTTACCTGTATAAAAGACACCTGTCCACAGAAGTAGTCGATCAATCAGGTTCCAAACTCTCCACCAAAGCCAAGACCAAAGAACTGTCCTAGGATGTCAGACACAAGATTGTAGACCTACACAAGGCTGGAATGGGCTACAAGACCATCGCCAAGCAGCTTGATGAGAAGGTGACAACATTTGGTGCAATTATTTGCAAATGTAATTAACAAAAAATAACTGTCAGTCTCCCGCTGTCTGGTGCTCCATGCAAGATCTCACCTCATGGAGTTTCAATGATCATGAGAATGGTGAGGAATCAGCCCAGAACTACATGATCTCAAGGCAATGATCTCAAGGCAGCTGGGAGCATAGTGACCAAGAAAACAATTGGCAACACACTATGCCATGAAGGACTTAAATCCTGTATCGCCCGCAAGGTCCCCCTGCTCAAGAAAGCACATGTACAGGCCTGTCTGAAGTTTGCCAGTGAACATCAGAATGATTCAGAGGAGAACTGGGTGAAAGTGTTGTGGTCAGATGAGACCAAAATTGAGCTCTTTGGCATCAACTCGCCGTGTTTGGAGGAGGAGTAATGCTACCTATGACCCCAAGAACACCATCCCACACCGTTAAACATGGAGGTGGAAACATTATGCTTTTGGGGTGTTTTTCTGCTAAAGGTACAGGACAATTGAGCAGCATGAAAGGGACGATGGACAGGGCCATGTACCTTCAAATCTTGGGTGAGAACCTCCTTCCCTCAGCAAGGGCATCGAAATGGGTCGTGAATGGGTATTCCAGCATGACAATGACCCAAAACACACAGCCAAGGCAACAAAGGAGTGGCCAAATACTTATTTTACGCATAGACATGCAAATCACCATTAAAATTATAGACTGATAATTTCTTTGTCAGTGGGCAAACGTTCAAAATCAGAAGGGGATCAAATACTTTTTTCCCTCACAAAGATACATGGTGTATTCAGTGTAAATTATAAAGACCTTTTTCTTCATTTCAGCTACTCCATCTTCATGCTCCGTGGGTGTTACTCTTCATGCAACACCAACCTCTTCAACAGCTCCACTTCTGTTCTTATTTGATTTGCCTTATGTGGGATACATCCCCAAGAAGGGCAAATCTTATCAGTGATGATTTGCTGACTTTGTTGCCAACGTGCCGGGGTCGGAACAGAGTGGCGTCATGTAATTTTGTTCCTATACTCCCTAGCCGGTGCTAGAGTTTCCATAGCAACCACATCGCATGCACTGTGGTTGCTTTAGGAGGAGAGCAGAGGGGCCTCCTGTGGTAGGTCTTTTCTGCTCTCCCTTGTCCGTTAATGCCTCTCCACACTGAGGCATTTGCTGACAGCTGGGAGAAAAACATGTTATCTATACATTTGCTAGCAAAACTGCTAGCACCATGTATAGATACAATCTCATACTCAATCTAAAGAGCAAATGTTATTGGGGCATGAGAAAGGCATTTTAAAGTATGGCTACTTTTCTTATTCTCTAGAGGGAGGCCCTGTTTCCCATATGGAATCAATCTCTAGAAAGCAAAGCATGTAATCAATTTATTAATTTTATTTTATGGTCAGGAACTGAGACAGTAATATAAAACAAAATAGAAGCTTTTTCTTGGAGTGCAAAATGTTTAAATACAAATAATCATTTTCTTTTGGGATAAATGACATTTGTGTTTTGGGATTTTTTCATAGAAGACATGCTTTTAAAAACTGATCTATTTACACATGAAGAAATGTGATAAAAGTCTCGTCTTGGGAATGAATCAGGAACTAACATCCTTTCCGTGAGCTGTATAACATTGTCTTAAGGAAGTAAGACAATATAAATAAAAATATTTATTGGGTGCCTAAAGTCAAGCCTATCTCAGGGGACTCTTGAAAGAAAGTAGTGTTGGAAATTCTTATATTTGTGTCAGATTTGAATTATCATATGTTAAATGTAAAGAAACAAATTAAATTTCATTGCATATAGCATCAGCAGATATTATGTATACATTCAACATATGTATTATAGTTTATATGTTGGCAGTATAATACAGAGTGCTCTACAATATGCGCTCTAAAGGTTACAAATATCAAAGGGTACCCAACTTTGCCAAACGTACATTTTAATTGAGGAAATTGTAACTCAGGTAATGCTTGGAAATAAGGATTTTGTACATGAAGAATACACATAAGGGTTTCTTCACTATGCAGCAAAATTGTATTGAATTGAAATGGAAAGGTTATATTTAGGCGAAAATGGCCAATTTGATAAAAAAGTAAAAATGTCATGTGTCCTCTTATAAATTTGCCTCGTTTCCTCTTTGACCAATCAGATAAAGGAGTGATGGTAGTGGTGTTGGATTAAAGGGACACTATTTTCTGATTCTCCCTTGGCACTGTCTCCCGCTTCTTCCCATGTGATATCATCCTGAAGACATGACTCCAGAATGATGGTCCAATCCAGTGCTCCTGGTAGAAGAGCATTGGGGACTATAGGCACATGTGCGGCACTTACCGCCATCCGCCAAATATTCTCTTGTTATAGATAATCATTTAATGCCATGATGATACTGTATGGCTGGGTATAAGAGCTGGGAAGGAACAGTCCTGGCTCTCCTCTCCAAAGGGCTTGGAGGCATGGCCTGAAGCTGTGCTGTCAAGCCTTCTAATTATAAAAATATTGTAATTTTGAGACTTGTAGAGGGTGGGGGAGGAACTATTGAAGACACTATAACAACTTTAATTAGATGAAGTAGTTATATTGAGTACAGTGTTCTTTAAGTATTCAGGGCAACTGGTCTAAATCTCCTGGTTTAGAGGCGAGTTAAAATTTCTGAATTATCATACATGGCAACTTAGTACTGGCAAGCCTGGACATTGTAATATGTTGGGTAGGGAGCTGGGTGTGGATCTTTGGTTCATTACATATACATCAACCTTCTATATGGCATGAAATTGAGTATTTATTAATCCTAGAATAAGTACCATTCAACCGCACATCCCACTTGTCAAATCATCAGGCATTTTAGTAAAACAACCCACAAATCGTTCTTTTGTAAGATATGCATTCTTATAAAGCTCCTCGTGCCTTGAAATGGTATATAACTTATCCTCATGTTGCTCTTCCAATGCCAAGCTCTGAAATAAAACATGTCAGAATATTGTTTTCACAGCTATTTGATTATGCTTTCACTCTCTCTTACTACATGTTTTCCTGTGTTCTCATCACTACAGAATAACATGCCTTTTTGGAGAATATCAAGTCATTCAGATCTTTTGGCTCTACATCAAGCACTGGAACTAGAATATTTGTAACTATTTGCATCTTGGACGGCCTTTTGTATATGTATATAAATATATATATTTTAAGTACACACTGAATTTTTATTTGTGGTTGAATGCCTCTGGCTTTTTACATACATGGATTGTCTTAAAAAGGGAAGAATTATCTGGAACAAACCAATGGGAATGACAAAGGATTCAGACTGCTACAAGAGGAGCAAAATTACAAAATCTCGAGGGCTGCTCCAATCAAAGATATTTATGGTCATGCATGTAAGGCTTTTAAGGCATCTGGCCAATGAAGACTCACTAGTTCTTGCACCAAGGAAATCATAGTAATTAAGTAGAGCATTTGTGCAGGACTCGTTGGCTGGTGCTTTCTGACCGAAGAGGGGGTGTTCTACATTCCTCAAAATGGGATCTTACTCTCAACACTGAGGTGTGAATCAGACATAAACCTACCTAACCCGGAAAATCTGAATTTAGAATGCACTCCAACTATATGATGACAATCATGTCTAGACCTGTAATTTTGTGTAAATTATTGAGTAAAAAATAATAATTTACTGTGACTTTATTAGCAGCCGATTTTGAAAGTGGATGTAATGTTTGTATTTTTTTTTGTTTGTTTTTTTGGGGGGAGGGAGAGGGGAAGCTGGGAAGAGGTTGGAGAGATCTAAAATGGTATCATGCTGTCTCTTTTATAAGTTTGGCAATCAGAATGTGCATAATGATGTGTTGTGCCTTAATGACAAGACAGTGTTTGTGTGTTACAATGTAATTTTGGTTAAAAATGTAGTTACATGAAATCTTCCATTTGAGATGATTTCTTCATACATGACCAAATTGATCTATAAAACAGGAAAAGCTGCACACTTTGCGGCTAAGATTTGTTGCAGGAATAAATAAAAACAATGGAACTTTGTGTTTTTATTTGGGTTTACATGACTCTGTGTTTACAACCATGGGCTAAATTTTAAGGGTACTTTTATTTTGTGGACATGTTTGTTCATTGGCGAGTCAGAAAAGCATAATAATGTTCATATTACATTCAACCATTTTTTTTCCATGTATTTAAGTTTTGTTTTCCAAAACACAAAATACAACAACCGAAACAACTAAATACAATACTACGTGAAATATAATTTTTTTCATCAATATAGAGTAGTTTTAATTATTTCAGAAATCTTTTTTTTTTAACTCTTGTAAAAAGATATAATAGTGGATATTTAGAAAATGTAATTATATGAAGCATGTGCTGTGTAAGCCATATGCATGCATAGCTGCGTAGTTAAGTGTTTTTTTTTGAACTTTCAGTTCTTATCACACTCTACTCTTCATAAGAGTAGAACACACTTATAACTAAACAAACTGTTAGGAACTTCTCAAGTCTCAATTCACTAGCATATGCATGTAGGTAACACATATTGCACATGAATACAACAGAAGCCATTCAAAAAAACGTTGTAGAATATTGATTTTCAGCTGGTAAAAGCACTTTCTAATGGAATGCATTGTATCTTGTCTTTTCTTTGGAATTGTATAAAAGAAATCTATTTGGCACTTGGTTTGGTTGTGAATGATTTAGTGTAAGTTTGGAGAGATTTGTATTCCACTGAGCCTATTTATCAGTTTAAAATACCACTCTTTTAATATATGTACAAGCAATAGTAAAAACCAAAACAGGATGAAGTAAGTAGGAACAATATGTACAATAATGAAACACCTTAAACATTACAGATGTACACTAAATAATGCACTCACAAACAAAGAAACAAGTAGACCCTTGAACAAATAAAGCATTGCTCTCTATAACAATAACAATAATAATAATAATAAAACAGTAGCGCAATAAAGCCTAAACTGGAACTTTAAAATAATAAAATGAAAAAGTTTCAAAAACATTATGCTTCAGTATATTTCAATTTCATATTTTAGGTTAAGAAACTTTAAATTTATATCCATAGAATATACCAAAATCTGGAAGGGATATAATGAAAAAAATGATCACAGAGAGAATCATTCAGGTTACATAGACTAAAAACATACGTTTGTTTTTTGTGAATGTGATGCTACACATGTTTTTTGCGGGTATAACATTTTATTACTTTTGTACTGCATTTGTTATATATGTTTGCTTGCTTAAGGATCTTAATTGAAAAAATAGTTACATAAGTGTTAAAAAAATATTAATGAAGTGCAAATATTAATGGGGGGCACTATGAGAAGAAAGATTAATTTCGATACGGCACTGACTCAGAAAAGCACTGCCTTATCGCCATAAAACATAATAGCGTTCTCTGTGCACTTTATTATTGAATTATTTTTGATTTGTATGTTTTATTAGGTACATTTTTTTTTTTTAATGCAATTGAGCCCAGATTTCCGTTCCTGTCGTGGATCTGGTACTTACAGGGTATTGAATCTCACTAAATACTATATTTATATACTGTACATGCAGTATGTATCTATCTATCTATCTATCTATCTATCTATATATTATTTTATTTTTGTACACAGAGTATATGCAACTTTTACTTGTTTTTTAAAGTTGAAGACAAAACTATCTTCGAATGCATGGTTGTTTATTATTTTTGGGTTGCTGTGCAATGGTACTGCTTCACATTTCTAGATGGCGACAGAAACAAAGAGGTCCTATACAAAAGACTAAGAAGTAGAAGTCAGCTGTTTCCCGGTCAACTCGATATGATGCCACCTCGATTTCCAAGTGATGATGCTCTCTAAAAAGCACTTACTCAATGCGGTGGTAGTCATTGCTTAGTTAGAGTACTATCAAATGACTCATGATGGCATCATGGACATACCTCTTGCCTTCCAGCAAGCCCGATTGGTGGACTGTGGGAATGGGCACCCTTGAGTGCTAAAGGAAGGGAGTAATTTGCTATACCTTTGATTGAAACTGCTTTTGATTTTGTTTTATGGCATTGTAAGTAAAATATTTTACACCATAAATCTCTGAAGAAGTTGCTGGGTAGCAACAAAACACACAGACTAACTGTAACTGCTTCTAGAAGTGTATTTGTTGGTAAAATTTGACATATGCTTGATTATACAGCTTTTAATATGTGTGCAATACATTCATCTTTTTTTTTTTATTATTCTTTATTTTGGGTTGTGCAGATGGTTACAAGATTTCAACGGACGCCACAACAGCGTATTTCAAGCTTCATAAAAGATAAACAGTGGCATGATAATTTGCACATTTTTATATGTTTTGCATGCTTAACTAAACTGTCGTTACGTCAGAGTAGGTTTAAATAAGATTAAGTAAGATAAAGATGCTAGGTGCTTAACTGTGCTGGTTCGCCTATGCTAGAATTGATATAGTGTGAGCATGTTTTGTAGCAGAGCAGTATCTAGTTATGACATAGTAGTGCATAGAAACTTTATGCTGTGGGTATTTAGGTGATGAGGCATCCTAATATAAAACATTGCTATCACTTGCCTACCCTAATATACCCTAATATCTCTATTCTTTCCAGACATGATTGCCCTGTGGCACATTGCTATGTTGAGCCTAGCACTCAAAGTAGCATCCTTACGCATTCTAAGCTTGGGTATTAACTGTTTTATCAATTTTCAGTGTCCATAGGACTATCAGGAATGTTTTTCCCCTGAGTTTTAGTGTTATTACCACCAGTCCATGAGATCGTATGAGCATAGTCCATTCGTGGCTTGAGTTATGCTTCAGGGTCCGGGTGCTCAGCTGGATCGTGTGCTCCCAACATTCCCTTCACCCGTTTGAGGCAGTATGGTAGGCACTTCATCCTATGCCCAGCGCTGGTAAGATCAGCCGGCTGTTGCTATTCTTCTTGTCATAGCAGTCGCGGGGCCCGTTGTCTCCATTTCGGGGTTGAGCTCCAGGACGTCTCTTCGTGGTGTGCCGTTTCCCCTTCACTTGTGTTGCAGTATTGGTTGAGGAGTGGCGTTTGGTGCTGTGCTGGTAGCCGGGATTTAGGTCAGATATTTTAGTAGTGTGCGTCGTTGTTGGATTGGAGATCTCGGCTTTGCTTGTGGGCAGGTGAGAGCGTGTGTCCCGTCTCGATGCCCTATGGTATCGATTTTGCCTGACGGCCATCTTGGATGCTTGGGGTACCTGTATGTAGTGCCTGCGTCGCGCTGTTGGTCGCAACCATGAGGCCACCTTCCGGTCAACTTGGCGGTGAGTTGCTTCCCGGTTTCGCAGTGCTGCCCTGAGACCAGCGCAGGTCCGGTCAAATATTGTCATAGGGGACATATGTGCCCTTGTGCAGGTGCTCCGCCTGCTCTGCTCAGGTTGGTCGGCCATTTTGGCTGTACCTCTTCAGTCTGTTGCCCCACCATTTGTTGTGGTTGGTGGGGTCTTGTTCCATGCTGGCCCGTATGTGCTTCGGAGACCAGGATGTCCCCCACCGGTCCATAGGGGGGGGTATGCTGAGGTGTAGTAGCTTGTGGGTTCTTGCGCCGAGGGGAGCGGCCACCTCCCCCCTGCTTCAGCCCCAGTAGGCCGCATGTGGAACTCCGCTTGCCCGGCGTCGACAGGCACCGGGGTGGTGTCGGATTACTCAGTGGGGCACCCCCAACGTGGGTAGTGCACCCTCCGATTTTTGTGGGATTGTTAGCCGTCGCTTCTACCCCGGGTTCTGCCCGCCGGATCAGAGCTCGTGGCAGATGCGACTGCACGGCTCGGCGGTCAAGCTCCGCCCCCCCATACATTCATCTTTTAATAGCATATCCTACACTTTTTTTGTATCTGTTGATTTTAGAAGCTTGTCATTATGAAGATACATTTGGAGCTCCGTAGTCACATATGCTAGATATCTTAAGAGACACCCACAGGTGTTACTGCTTGATTTGCTCATGGGTCATCTAATGTCTATGCTTTTAGTGTACTATTTACATATACTACATACACTATTTACATATACTACATACACTATTTACATAGTGTGCATCTTTAGCTTTAAATAGAAACTATCAATTCCCAGAAATTGTAATATTATGCTTACTGAAACCTATATCTAACAAATATGTATTTGTGAGGTGTGCAAAATACAATAAATGTAGAAATCCACACCTCTTTATCCTACAACTGGACATCGTAACCTCCTTATAAGAGGAAAACTGAAACAATGTATGTTTGGCCTGACTTTACCTTGTCGGAACTGGATTATGATGTAATTTGCTAAATCAGTGATATGAAAACAGAAGGTAAATGCACATTAGGTGACTTTCTATGTTTTACTCAATTGTCCATATTCTGGAGAATTTACAGATGTTGTCCCTACTAGGTTGCTGTATCCCCATCTTATTTTTTTTTTCAAGTATTGCTGCTTGTTAAAGGACTTAAGGGAATAGTCATGGGGGAAGCATTGTTAATTATAATTGTTTTTTGTTATTTACTGATTTATAACACATTTATTGTTCACTACTTCTACTATTTTACACACTTTATGGATCAGTATACTCATACCTCTTCATCTGGCCATGGAAGGAGCATCAGTCATTATTTCCTTCAACATGCAGAAGCAGCGCCAGGGCCGGTGCGTCCATAAGGCAGCTCAGGCAGCCGCCTTAGGGCGCCAGAGCAGAGGGGCACAAAAATCTGAATCCCCTGCCCCTGGGGACTCTGACTTTTCATATTACCTGTCTCTCCCTGCAGCCAGCACACAGGGAAGTCAGCCGGTCTCTCCTGATGATGTCAGGAGGAGGGGACGTGACTTCCACTGCTCTTCTCCCATACCTGCTGGGGAGTCTGGGAGAATAGCAGTAGAAGTCACACCCCTTCCTCCTGACATCATCAGAAGAGACTGGCCAACTTCCCTGGCTGCAGGCTGCATGCTCCAGCTCCTGTCTCACCTCTCTCTGGCCCAGGGTAAGCCTCAGGGAGAGTTTTTTTGGTTTGTTTTTTAAGCAGCCCCATATAGCCCCTTGTAACCCCCTCTAGAGCTACTGTCCCCCTGCAACAGCCCCTGTGCCCTCTGTAGCCCTTCTTTCCCCCTCTCAGCCCCTGGCCCCCCTTTCAGCCCCTGTGTCCCCCCTTTCAGCCCTTGTCCCCCCTCTTAGCCCCTTTGTCACCCTCTAGAACTCTTCACTTCCCTCTAGAGCCACTGTGGTCCCCTATAACAGTCCCTAAGGACAACTCTACAGCTCATGTCCCCCCCGCAGCTCATGTCCCCCCTCCCCCCTCTAAGACCCTGTCCCCAACTCTCAGCCCCTTCCCAATTTCTCAGTCCATGTCTCCCTTCTTTCAGCCCCTGTACCCCCTTTCAGCCCTTGTCCCCCTCTCATCCACTGTGTTACCGTCTAAAGCTCTTCACCCCCTCTAGAGCCCCTATCCCCCTACAACAGCCCCTGTGCTCCCCACCACAGCCCCTGTGTCCCCCTATAGCCCTGCCCCCTCTCCAGCTCCTGTGTCCACTCTAGAGCTCCTGTCCCCTCTCTCAGCCCCTGTGCACACCTCTACAGCTCCTGCCCCCTTTCAGCACCTATCCCCCTCTCAGCCTCTATCCCCCTTTCAGCTCTTGTGTCCCCCCTTTCAGCCTGTGTCCCCCCCTTAGCCCCTGTCCCCTCTCTCAGCCCTAACCACACTTTTACACCCCATACCCCCACTATAGCACCTATTACCTTACTACAGTCCCATATCATCCCCACTACAGCCCCTCTCCCCCAATTGCAGCCCATATCACCCACCTTTCAGAATTGTAGCCATCAACCTACTTCAGCCTCTGTGCCCCCCTTTCAGCCCTTGTCCCCCCGTCTCAGCCCATGTGTTACACTCTAAAGCTCTTCACCCCTCTAGAGCCCCTATCCCCTACAACAGCCCTGTGCCCCCCACACATAGCCCCTGCCCCCTCCAGCTCCTGTCCCCTCTCTCAGCCCCAGTACACACCTCTCCATCTCCTGCCCCCCCCTCAGTCCCTATCCCCATCTCAACCCCTATCCCCACTTTCAGCCTGTGCCCCCCCTTTCAACCCTTGTGTTCCCCTTTCCAAGTCAGGTGCCCCCCCTTTCAGCCCCTGTATCCCCCTTTCAGCCTGTGTTCCCTCTTTCAGCCCCTGTATCCCCTCCTTTCAGCCCCTGTGTCCCCCCTTAGCCCATGTCCCCTCTCTCAGCACCTGTGCTCTTCCTCTTAGCCAATGTCCCCTCCACCACAGCCCCTAACTCACCTACTACACATCCCTTCAACTGCAGCCCTAACCACACTTTTACACCCCATACCCCACTACAGCCCATTTTCCCTTACTATAGTCCCATATCATCCCCACTACAGCCCCTCTCCCCCAATTGCAGCCCATATCACCCACCTTCCAGAATTGTAGCCATCAACCTACTTCAGCCTCTATCCCCACTCTTTCAGCCTCTGTGCCCCCCCTTTCAGCCCTTGTCCCCCCTCAGCCCATGTGCTACCCTCTAAAGCTCTTCACCCCCTATAGAGCCCCTATCCCCCTACAACAGCCCCTGTGCCCCCCACCACAGCCCCTGCCTCCCCTATAGCCCCTACCCCCCTCTCCAGCTCCTGTCCCCTCTCTCAGCCCCTGTGCACACCTCTCCAGCTCCTGCCCCTCTTAGCCCCTATCCCCCCATCTCATCCCTCTATCCCCCTTTTCAGCTCTTGTGTCCCAACTTTCAGCCTGTGCCCCTTTAACCCCTTGTGTTCCCCTTTCAGCCCATGCCCCCATTTCAGCCCCTGTGTCCTCCCTTTCAGCCCCTGTGTCCCCCCTCAGCCCCTGTGTCCCCCCTCAGCCCTGTGCTCTTCCTCTCAGCCCCTGTCCCCTCCATCACAGCACCTAACTCCCCAACTACACATCCCTTCAACTGCAGCCCTAACCACACTTTTACACCCCATACCCCACTACAGCCCCTATTCCCTTACTATAGTCCCATATCATCCCCACTACAGCCCCTCTTCACCAATTGCAGCCCATATCACCCACCTTTCAGGATTGTAGCCAAATACCTACTTCAGTCCCTATCTTCTCATTGCATTTCCTAACTCCCCAATTACATACACTCCATTACAACCTCTAATTCTCAACTACAGCCCTTGTCGTCGTCCCCACTTCAGCCCCAAGCCCCCTACTTCGACCCCTGACATGTCAATTACAGCCAATACAACCCACTAAAAGTGGCCTTCCCGAGATTAGCTTCTGGATCCTCCCTTGTGCTCTGTATGACTGTGTATATATGTCTTTGTATTCCTGTGTCTGTATGTCTCTATATGACAGTGACTGAATATCTCTACGTGTGTCTGTATGTCTGTGTTTGTAAGACATTGTACCTGTATGCGTAGATTGTATGACTGTGTTTGTTTGATTGTGTGCCTGCAAATCTCTGTGACTGTGTGCATGAATTATTCTGTGTGCCTGTTTGGTTATGTGTTTCTATATATCTATGTCTATATGGAAAATGACACACAAAGGGCCTGTGGAGTGGGAATACAATGCACTAAAGAGGGTAAGAAATTAAAAAGTGGGGTTACAAGACACACAGATGAAGACGCATATTTTTAAGGGGGGGGCATCAAAATGCATCTTCACCTGTGTAACCAAAAATCCTTACACCGGCCCTGAGCAGCACCTAGAGCTGTATTATAACTTATGCTCTTTTCTGGTCTACTGATATTTTCTTCTTAGCAGTAGATATTAGCCTGACACCTAATTTTAATTTGGTCAACTAGAAAGAGCCTCACAGTAAGATATGGGAAATAATTATACCCGTTTTTCAAAGGGTATATTTTGAAAATATATTTTGACACAGTGAGGTTTAGTATTTGGTATGGGTGAAGTTAATGTTACTTTAATCACATAGCAAGACTGGGACATATATATGTAGTACTGTGCCCAAGCTTATTTAACGTGAGATTCCTGGGGAGCAACTTCTATTTACAGGGTTCACTGTTAATTCAGATCCTTTCCTAAAACTGGTTCGAAAACTGGTTGACAATGCTTCCCAACTCTTCCCAGCATAGCAACAGCCAATAACAGGTGTATCCTTTACGAGTGGATGAGCTTGCCCTGCCTGTTGAGGATGGCTGCTGTACATCCTAAAGAGGTGCAGGAGGCTACACTAGAGAATAATGTGGGGTAGTAAGGGTTCCTGTCATAAAGGAAGCATTTGAGATAGCACAGACCACCAAGACAATATGATACTAAATAATGATATAACATAACCAAGCTAAGAAATTACAAACCATTGAAATAACATATAGACCCACTTGGGCTTTATGGACACTGAGAATGAAGCCTGTGGCTTCATTGTAGCAACCAATTTTAAGCTCCACCAGTTTTGTGTATTGCTTTCTCACAGATACCAATTCTAACTTTCCATATTCACATTAAGTTAGAACAATGCTACCTAAATAATTACTATAAACTATGCCGTTCCCTGTAAGAGATGTTATCATCATCATCGGACAGACTGATTAAGAAATTAGGCAACATAACTCTTAACATGAAACCCACTGGCATTTAATATGTAAAGCCTTTATTTAACCTTAACTAGATTGCCCGATATGTCACTGTTAGCTCAAAGTTTGAAATTTGAAGATTAGTGTTGATGCCTTAGAATCTTGTAGAACAAAATACCCAGTAAGATCTTCACGACACTTGCTAAAGTTCTGAAATTCGAGAGATAGATAGATAGATAGACTACATTAATAATATAAAAGAAATATTAAAATACGTTCAAAATATGAAATAATTTTAAAGCTTTATCCAAATATATTAAAAGTATATAAATGTTTACTCAATAATATTAAATTGTCACTTAAGGTAATATAACGAAAAGGTAATCATATGTTACTGAAAATCTTAGTAAAAAGGGTAATTATTCACCAATGCAAACTAAATACAAGCAATGTAGGATTTTACCAGTAGAGGGCAGTCTCCCCTGATTTTTATCCTGTGCCTGCAGAGAATTGTGAAACTTCATTTCCTTCAAATCAGTTTATTTATTTTTTATATTTCTTTGTACAATTCACAATAATGCACAATTATGCAGTTTCCTAACAATAATGATAATTTGAATTGATTTGTTTTGGGGAAATGTAAACCATCACATTGCAGGACATTTATATGCTTAAAAATAGCAACATACATACATATACAGTATATAGTAAAAAATAAGAAATGAGGCAAATCATTATATACTGTATATAACTGTGCATTAAAATAAAACAGTGCACGTCCTTTTAATCCAGACTTACAAAGAAGAATATGAACATTTATTTATTTACTGTTGGAATAGTTTTATTGATTTTCAGTAAGTTTATAAAAAGGAGAATATTGTAAGTCAAAGAGTGCTAGTGACGCTGATTTACTAGCGCTCTTTGATGCTTTGTCCTAGTGTTGTGTGAAGATATAAGGAAATACCATTAAACACTCTATGCACTAATCATTTTATCTGCCATTTGTAATTATCTCTTTTTGACTGACAATATCAGTTCTGTTGTCAGCATACAGCATGCAAATCTCATAGGTCGGTATGCTAACCTCAAAACTGATCATGGCTGGGAGAGTTAAATTGACCTTGGTTCACTAACTCACTGATAAAAAAAACAAAAAAACATTAATCAGTTCTGGTTTTCAACCTCTGTCTTAGATTACTGAAAAATAAATTCTGTTGGGAATTTGTGTTTCAACAAATTGAGTGCAAGAAGTTGCATGTCCATGTTGGACTATAACCCCAGTCCAGTAGGGTGGTCTTGGCTGTCACAATACCTGTCTCTGCTGTGTTTTGATGCACACTCACTTACCTTGCTTCCTGGTGCCTCATTATGACGTCATATATGATCTAGAACCCTCTCATTGGTCTTCTTTTATAATGTCAGTCTTTGTGGAGCTTTTTGATGATGTGTACACACTTGTGACATCATGGCCCTCTGTAACCAATTACAACCCAGTACAGGGTGTATATACTTCCTGGTTATATTTGTTTCCTTGCCTCGTCATAGTTTGTTTACCCATGAGTGCATTATTTATTCATTATTATTCCATTTTCTGACCTTGGCTTGTCTGACCATTTGTGATCTCTGTAATCCTGACCGTGGCTTGTTTCTCATTATTGTGTACATCTGTAATCCCTGACCTCGGCTTGTTACGTTTATTCTGTGTCTGTAAGGTTCTCTTTGCCATATGATGCTAGACAACTTAGTCTAAAGTTAATCTGAAACTTTTTAATACTACAACAGAGAGCAGAACAGTGTACTACTCTTGTTTGTGATGATGATGATGAAAGGGCAAAGTAAATAAAAAAACAAACACATATGGAGCCCGTAAGACCAGGATGCAAGAGGTAAAAGATGAACTGCATAGAGGATCACTGAATACTCCATACCCCTTCCTCTACCATCTGCTAGTGGAGTGGAGAAGAATACCACTTACCCTAAATATTATTAAATTATGCCCATCCCTGGTCCTAGATCAAGTTCTAAAGTGAACCTCAATTGTGGTGGCTCTGGGCCTAGTCAAAAGCCCACATTCTCCTTTAACTGGTATTAGGAAGGTGAGCAGTATAAGTTAGGAAATGTTTAAAAATATATATGAAAATAGACCATATAAAACTTGTCTATCAAAAACCTTGCTCGAGGGGGCGGAGCTTAGCTACCAAAGTGAGCGGTCCCAGGTCACTGCAGCTCCGTATAGACAGCGAGAAAAAAAAATCACTTTTCACGGACACTTACCCGCAGCACCGAGCCCCCAGACACCGTAACAACATATTTAACCACCATGGGCCGCAAGACGAAGAAATCCAAACCGAACTGAGCCAGTCTGGGGATGGACATCGGAGAACAATGGTGCCAAGCACATGGCCGCGTTGTCCGATTTCTCGGATGGTACAGCCTCGGAGGGGGAAGAGACTTACTCACACATACCAACGAAACCCCCACCAAAACAGATGGCACTGGACGCCTCCCCAGTCACAATCCTGATGGGGCTCTTGGCGGAACTGCAGACCTGCAAGCAGACATTGCCACGATGAGAGGGGGTCTGCAGGACCTGACAGGCCGCATTGGAGTGCTAGAGTCATCAACTCACCAGGACTCCCAGCGGATACAGGTGCTGGAGCGGGCGGTGCAGGACCTCCAGTGGCAGAATCAGACCCATGAACACCGCTTTGCGGCCCAGGAAGATCTACGCAGGCGGAACAACCTGAAAATCAAGGGGGTACCCGACGCGGTCCCTGAGGCGGAGCTGCCGCACTTGGTGAGGAGAATGTTGGGAGACCCAAACAGGCCAAAGCTACACCCCGGGATGGGATATTCTGCATACCTCAACCAGCCAAAGCCCCAGCAACCCCACAGAGCGATTTGATCATTCAATTTCGGAACAGAGCAGACAAGATGACAGTCCTGAAGGCAATCACGGGTAAGCCAAATTACCACTTCGAAAATATGGCCTTAGAATTCTATAATTAACAATCCGGCAGCACAATGGCCTGGCGGTGGTCACTCAAACCCCTCACCACACTGCTCCGGCAGCGCTGGCGCTTGCCCCGCACGCTACAGGTGACACATGGAGAGACTACTTACCCTATCCAGGAGCTACGAGACGCAGCTGCCCTCTTAAGGGATTTAGGACTGCTACAAGACTATCTAGTAAAGTTGCAGGCGCAACCCGCTTCCAGGCCCTCGCACAACTGGGACCCCAGCAAGGTCACCCCATTCACCCCAAGTCGTCTCACGGTGGAACCGTATGCCACCGCAACCACGTGAAGCCCCGTGAGGCTTTCAGATTGGGACTGCTTATGATGGGGATGGTTCCGATATTACTTTTCATTAGCATCTACAATTTTTCTGTTCCTTGTTTATTTACAAGACAAGACCATTTGGGGCACTGCAGACCTACTAACAGGCCTAGTCCCCACACAGATCTTCCTGAGGCATATTACCCAAACCACACTATCATAACGTGCCTGTGCACCTTGTCAGGTCAGACACCCTACTATTTCCCTACTCATCCCGACCGCCACTACCCCGACACGAAGACCAAGCAAGTTACATTAAGGGGTGAACCCTACCCCCATAGCACATGGTGCTGCTGATATTTCCCCGCACCTTACATAGGCCAGCTCACTCTGTAGCGATGCAGCTCATTACCTCTAACCGACACATGGCCTGCACATGAGGGGAGACTGAAGGAGACAAGACACGTCCCTACACTATCACACCATCAGCAAAGCTGCTGATCCTTAAAAGTTAATTCTGCTGCATTGAAGCATGCTGTTTTTGTTGTACCCTACTAGACAAAAAGTGCAAAGTTTTCAAACCTTCTAAAGCGTATTAAATACACATGACCCGAACGTTACTCTAAAACCATTACTGAATCCTGATTAATGCCAAAGCAGGATTGTTATTAACATTGTACAGCTATTCTCTACATGACCTATTCTAGCCTAGCCCAGGTCCAACAATAACCAACTCATGACCATTGTTAACAATTTTATGTTATATCATGACAATATCTAAGCAACATAAGTCCATACTGTTTATAGCCTATAAAAATTTACTTGTTCTACCATGTACCTCTATGTTAAACGGTTTCAAAGCGCTAGACGATTGCCTTTGGGGTACCTCACATGTGAATGTTACAAACCTACGCACAACAAAAATAAAGAATAAAAAAAAAAAGCCTTGCTCGAAGATTCTAAAATTTTTGTCTGTAGGCAAAAAAACATGGTTAAAAAAAAGCATCAAGACCCCATGCAATAATTAAAATTCTACAAAAACAACTGAACTAAAAAAACAAAAAACAAAAACAATCCAGGCTCTACACATTGTTGGTTGAAAGTTTAGAAAACAAAATGGCAAAAAAATATATATGCCCCTTTCAGCTTCAAAGGAGAAGGGACTGTCAAGAATATACTGGATTCTCTCCAGTTGTATGGTATTTGTTAAGGAATATAACAGGAGTGCGACTGCAGCTAGGGGGCGCTGCACCAGGAAAAAACACCAGGACATCAGAGAGCACGCCATAGTGTGAGGTGTTATAGAAGGCACAGTATAAATATAGTACTGACTTTTATAAAGGGGGCTGTGAACCAATGGCCAGCATCCTCTTTGCTTCAAGCTTTACAACATAGGGAAAAAGAGTATATTATCATCTGTGGGGACGCAAACTACAATTTATTCTTTTTGTATTTATGTTGAAGAAGTATCAACCAGAAAGTGGAGTCACCACTGCCACAGCCAGTTTTACATATACTTTTTTTAGGACCAAACTTCTGGAATAAAAGGGAATCATGACATGTCACACATGTCATGTGTCCTTAAAGGACCACTCTAGGCACCCAGACCACTTCAGCTTAATGAAGTGGTCTGGGTGCCAGGTCCTTCTAGGGTTAACCCATTTTTTCATAAACATAGCAGTTTCAGAGAAACTGCTATGTTTATGAATGGGTTAAGCCTTCCCCCATCCTCTAGTGGCTGTCTCATTGACAGCCACTAGAGGCGCTTGCGTGCTTCTCACTGTGATTTTCACAGTGAGAGCACGCCAGCGTCCATAGGAAAGCA